CTGGAAAGCAGGCCAATGCTGGACCCAGGCAACTCACAGGAACAAACCAAAATGCCTTTCTTGCCAGTGTACAAGACAGACATCTCACAGATCTGAACTTCAGCTGTGGGAGAGAGACTGGGCTGGGTACTAACTTTCCTCTGTTGGCAGAGGTCCTGAGCACAGATTTTGCCCTTAAAAGTTGATTTGATTTCTTATCAAAGTACATAATTTCATCTGCAGGTTTCACCTCCAAATGAAAACATTGTCATTACTAACCCAAACAGACCCTGGTGGGAAAGATACCAGCCCATTAGCTACAAGATCTGCTCTCGATCAGGAAATGAAGAGCAATTCAAAGACATGGTGAAGAGATGCAACAATGTTGGAGTAAGTGCCTTGAAAATCTGTCTGATGTGGCAAGAAGTGCCGTATCAGCTGAGGGAAGGTGCTGCTGTCCTCAAAGGAGGTGTAAACTGAGAAGAAACTGAAAGGGAAAATAATCCACTTAAGAGTGATGTGGTAAATCCCTGGCTATCACTTCATGTTTGCTACAAAACATACTGACATGCACATATTGCTTTTCCAGGTTCGTATCTATGTGGATGCTGTCGTCAACCATATGTGTGGGGCTGCAGGTGGCTCAGGCACACATTCTACCTGTGGAAGCTATTTTAATGCTGGAAACAGAGATTTTCCAGCTGTCCCATACTCTGGCTGGGATTTCAATGATGGCAAATGTCACACTGGAAGTGGAAATGTTGAAAATTATAATGATATCTATCAGGTAAGGCTGAGGAGGGAGGGCTGGAAGTAGTAACTGCTTTTAGAAGCAACTCTAACTCTGCAGGGCCCTGTAGGAATGATGATGGTGTATGTCTAGCAGATCAGTTACAAAGGGGCATGCTGAAAGGCTTCCCTTGAAAGCCAAGTAGAAGGTAAAGCTCTTTACCTTGTTCTAAAGGAAGTATGGAAGCAGTGAGGTTTGGCATTCCTAAGGCTGTTGGTGTTACAGGTGAAAAGAATTCGTGTGGCTTCAGCCCTTCCATGCACATGTGCTGGAAAGCAGGCCAATGCTGGACCCAGGCAACTCACAGGAACAAACCAAAATGCCTTTCTTGCCAGTGTACAAGACAGACATCTCACAGATCTGAACTTCAGCTGTGGGAGAGAGACTGGGCTGGGTACTAACTTTCCTCTGTTGGCAGAGGTCCTGAGCACAGATTTTGCCCTTAAAATGTTGAAGTAAAACCATTTGATTTCTTATCAAAGTACATAATTTCATCTGCAGGTTTCACCTCCAAATGAAAACATTGTCATTACTAACCCAAACAGACCCTGGTGGGAAAGATACCAGCCCATTAGCTACAAGATCTGCTCTCGATCAGGAAATGAAGAGCAATTCAAAGACATGGTGAAGAGATGCAACAATGTTGGAGTAAGTGCCTTGAAAATCTGTCTGATGTGGCAAGAAGTGCCGTATCAGCTGAGGGAAGGTGCTGCTGTCCTCAAAGGAGGTGTAAACTGAGAAGAAACTGAAAGGGAAAATAATCCACCTAAGAGTGATGTGGTAAATCCCTGGCTATCACTTCATGTTTGCTACAAAACATACTGACATGCACATATTGCTTTTCCAGGTTCGTATCTATGTGGATGCTGTCGTCAACCATATGTGTGGGGCTGCAGGTGGCTCAGGCACACATTCTACCTGTGGAAGCTATTTTAATGCTGGAAACAGAGATTTTCCAGCTGTCCCATACTCTGGCTGGGATTTCAATGATGGCAAATGTCACACTGGAAGTGGAGAAATTGAAAGTTATAATGATATCTATCAGGTAACTTTCCCTGGAAAAATTTTCAAGCCTTTTTTTTTCTTGACATATTATGTTAACTCTACAGTAAAATCAAATGGTGTAGTGCCTCAGAAAACCTGTGCTTAGTCACTTGACAAGTAAATGGAATGGTGACCATAGGTATGTGTGGCCCAAAATATTCTAAGTATTGTGGAATCAAGAACCTAGGTGCAGATGTTTGCTCCTGAAGTGAGCCTAGTGTACTCAGCTCAGCCTGTGAGCTCATTTTTATGGCTTATAAACTCAGCAGATCATTGTAAGCAGCATCCTTGGAAAATTGAGAGCAGTGCAAGGTGGTGCTGTAGTTACACAGTTTACTGGGATTTGTAGTTAGAATATGTAGCAGTTCTTTCTGAAGCTCTCCCTTCAGCCTCTTTGCAACAATGCATGATAATGTTTCTGCACTTGCACAGGTTCATGTAGGGCTTGCCCTTCATGGGTTCAGGTGACCTTTCATTTACCAGGAGGTAATCTCCACATTTTCTCCTTTATGTTTGCCTTTGTCTTTTGTATTTCTTTTGCCTCCTCCTTCAGAGGAACAACAATACATCTTCATCCAACTTACCCTAGAAGGAGCTCACAATTTACTTAGAGCAGCCCTGCAGACATAGTTCATTTTGATTCGTAAAGATGCCTCCACAACAGATTGTCAATCAGCTTTAGCTGTCCTTTCATCAGTCATGTTTTTGCATGTGTCCCTCATGTCTTATACTGAATTTGTGTTGCTATCTTTCCTGTACCAGGTAATTGATTTGGGTGGAGAGCCCATCAAAGGCAGCGAGTACTTTGGAAATGGCCGAGTGACAGAATTCAAATACGGTGCCAAACTGGGAACAGTGCTCCGCAAGTGGAACGGAGAAAAGATGGCCTACTTAAAGTAAGGATGAAGGTGCTGCAACTTATCCAGGATTCTCTGGATCCACCAGTTGACAGGGTAGCTTCAAGTCTGTGTTTTTGTTTAGGAACTGGGGAGAAGGCTGGGGCTTTGTGCCTTCCGACAGAGCCCTGGTCTTTGTGGATAATCACGACAACCAGAGAGGACACGGGGCTGGTGGAGCTTCTATTCTAACCTTCTGGGATGCCAGGTGAGGGATTGCTCTTGTGTGGGTGATGCTTCCTGCTTTGGCTTGTTTGTTTCTCTGTCAGGTTCCTCCTTCCATGTCTCATTCCTTGTTTGTCCACCAAACAGGCTCTATAAAATGGCAGTTGGCTTCATGCTTGCCCATCCTTATGGGCTCACACGTGTGATGTCAAGTTTTCGCTGGCCAAGATATTTTCAAAATGGAAAGGTGAGCTGTTGATGCTGAAGATCCATCCATGGGGATTAAGGGTGAGAGAGGGGCCACAGAAGTAGTCCAGTGCATTTCAGGTTTTTCGAGTGATTTCCCTGTCCCAGGGTGGATGTAGCCGGTGAAACTTTGATGCTCCCTCTAGCTTTGTTCACCAGAGGGGCTCTCTGCATTTTCAGTCGGGAGATCTAAAGCTGTCTTTTTAATGCCAGGACGTCAATGACTGGTACGGACCCCCAAGTAACGCAGATGGCTCCACAAAGGCCGTCACCATCAACGCGGACACGACCTGTGGCAACGACTGGGTTTGTGAACATCGCTGGCGTCAAATCAGGTAGGGCCCTGGGGAGAAAGAAGAAGTAAAAGCAGTTGCTTTTGCTTCCTGCTCCATGTGGCTTTAGAGGTGTTGCAGGTGCAGAGGCAGGCATTGCTTGTGTTTCCAGGAACATGGTTATCTTCCGTAACGTGGTGGATGGTGAGCCTTTCTCCAACTGGTGGGACAATGGCAGCAATCAAGTGGCTTTTGGCCGTGGTAACAAAGGCTTCATCATCTTCAATAATGATGACTGGTGAGTAAGAGGGAAATAAAGTATAATTTGTTATGATTATTAAAAATTATTATGTGTTAAATATGTATTTTAAAAATCTAGTTATTAATGTAACCTTTTTCGGTGTTGCTAACTTATAGATCTTTCTTATGGATTATTATTGACAGTTATTGACAATTTAAATGTAGCATTTTCCACTCTATCATAGACACTCTTCAGTCTTGGCTGTTTAGACCTTGTAGTGTGGTCTTTATATTTCCCAGTTCTGAAGCTGGCTGTGTGACTGGGTCTGGTCAACCAGCAAAGTCTGAATTTATAGTAATGACGGAACTTGTAAACTCAGGAATATGTTCTGTTTTCAAACAGTTTTAAAAACTGTTGAAATTGTTTACACGAGAATGAGATGATAAGAGAATGGGAGTATGTCAGGGCTGTAATAAGTAGCTGTAGTTGTGGTGACGAGCAATGTGAAGCATGTAGTGC